TTCTATTTTAATTTGGTTTGGTAGTTCGTTCCAAGCCTTAGTTGCACGGTATAAGAATGTTCTCTGGATGTGAACCCCTTGTGCCCTGAGCGAACTATATCCGACGTGAACTAGCGTCCCTGCCAGCAAACGTGTTAATGTTACCTTTGGTACTACAATGATGTGGAGATTACAGTTTCAGTGATTGGCTATGAGGAAACACATTGCTATTATTTTTTTTCTGATGGAAGGTCTTTTATATGATTTATAATTTATCATTCAACTCCAAATTTGACTTCCATGAAGTTAAAATAATGAACAATAGGCTGGATGAATTTATATTCTCAGTCATTTTGTATTGTTTAATTAGTTAAACCAATGATATAGAATCACTGTGGCTTTCTAATCTAAGGCTTAGTTCACACTGAAGTTGAATGTGACAAACTATATACTGGCGCTAATTATTAAACTGAGTAATAATCAATCATAAAATGTGGCTGTGTCATATACTTTAGTACAGAGAAGCTGTAATACCTTTACTCATAACTTGGGCAATTAAGTCGATTCCAGTAGATGGCCCATCATTGTAAAGTTTTGCTGGTTTTTGATATGTGATAGTGTATACTGCATAATGTTATGTTACTCAATGTGTTTTCTTTATAGCATTTTTTATGCAACAATCATGTGCCAATTCCGCAACTAACTCTGACATTCTCTCTGGAAGAGTTAGAACGCATTGATAAGGAGACGCATGTTTACACGGAGCGAATGCACAACATAGCCCAACGCAACACTGTGTCGAAGGAGGAAAAGATATGATGTGGGTGGGTTGTGAATTGTAATTTACAGAGCTGATCATTTTGGAGTGTTTAATGTCTTAGTGCTTAAGGAGGGAAGTTTTAGGAAACAAGCTCTTAACATTGTACAAAAGTTTGATAAAAGTCTGATAAGACATTTTTTGCTCTGATCAGACATTTGAGTGCTATGTACTCAAATATTGTATAGTAAAAGTCTGATAAGACATTTTTTGCTCTGATCAGACATTTGAGTGCTATGTGCTATGTACTCAAATATTGTACAGTTTTATACAGCGAATAGGACTGAGATTTGTGTAATATATTTAATATGAACAATAGAAATGTCATTCACATTGTTACTATACTTTTGGTTTTTGTTCAGGAAGCTAGGTTGGAGAAGGCACGAGAAGATCTGCTGATCCAAGCAAGACGGACTGCTGTACACGAGTTGAACAGAATAAGAGGTAATAAAGAAGTCTGTAAACATGCAAATTCCCTATTTTATTTGATTACAACTATTTTATACTATTTTACCTTGGAATAATTTATTTATTTATTTTATATACTGTATGTTTATCTTATAAAAATATCTTGGTTCTCTATTTTTTCATTGCATAGATGCTATTGGCTCTGCAGGTTTAATAATTAAAAAAAATCTTGGTCATAGTGGATTTTGCCTCTATGTTTCAACCATGTTGTTCCGTCCATCCAACACTTATGTTTATATATACTCAACTCTGTGAAAGAATATTCCTTAATTATTTCCACTCGGACAGTCATCATACCAAATAGCATTATGGTAGTGTACAAATGATATATTGTGTAGTACACTAGGTATATTATCTCAATAATCTTCATGGCTGGAGCACAAACAATTTTTTTTCCAGGTGTAGTTACAAGTAAAGGAATAAAATAGTAAAAAATAAGTCTACATTATCAAATTTTACATGACAAATTTTTGAGATGTGCCCATATTCGGGCACGATATTGTCATATTACACACAAATATAGGCCTATCACAGTTGTTTATCACATATAATTTTGAGTGCGCACAAAGCCAGGAAACAAAATGTTCAGCTTACCGACTGTCTCTTATACACATCTAGATGTGTATAAGAGACAGGTTCCGTCCATCCAACACTTATGTTTATATATACTCAACTCTGTGAAAGAATATTCATTAATTATTTCCACTCGGACAGTAATCATACCAAACACAGTAAAGTTAAAAATATATACCGTACTCGCGCAAATAAGCGCCCGGGCGCTTCAAATATTTTTTTGCACTTTTTGAGGGGCTCTTATTCAAATGGGGTGCTTATTCGAACGGGGCGCTTATAAAAACAGAGTGAAAAAAATCGAGGGGTTCTTATGAGAACTTATTATATCCAAGAGGTACATTTTGAATGAAAAACGATTAAATAAGGACATCAGGAAACCGCAAATTACGAATGGTGCTGCGGCGGAAAAGATAATCGTCCAGAGAGCATGGCTTGTCATGACAAGAATATTGTGAGTACAGTATTACATAACAGCAGAATAGCAGATGAAATTAGTGGTGGTGGTTAGCTTGTTCGCCATCGGTCGATTGAGAATAGCAGGACGGCATAACCATTGCAGGTTTTCTTGAAAACTTAGATGAGAGTGTGTTAGAGGTGCAAATTGTCGGAAAAGGAGTAGTAGGACTAGGCTATAGACAAATGAAAGAAGATGAAAGTTGGAAATATACTGTCTGTCCAGGGAGCTCTCATCATTCTGTCAAAGATAAATATCCTCACTTTGATATTGACTAAAGGAGAATGTGATTCCACTCCACACCTCAAATCATGCCAACATCCACAGTCCCAAGATTGATTGGGTTATTGAGGGGGGATTTATTCAAATTAGAAAAATTCAAATTATTCAAACGGGGCACTTAAGGAAATTTTCTCGTTATGAGTGGCGCTTATTCGATAGGGGACGCTTATTCAAACGGGGCGCTTATTCGAGCGAGTACGGTAAGTGCGGCACTGCAAAATGCCTTACATGCTGCACTGCTAACTGCCATATATGCTGCACTGCTAACTGCCATACGTGCTGCATGCTGTCATACGTGCTGCACTGCTAACTGCACTTCGTGCTGCATGCTACCATACATGCTGCAATGCTACTACTGTACAATACATGCTGCACTGCTAACCGCCACAGATGCTACAGTACCTCACAACTACTGTACCTCATGCACTGCACTAACGACTGTCTTACGTTCTGCCTAATATGCTGAGTAATTACATACTGCTTAATACAGTCATCTATCCTACCTTCCAATTGTTTCCCATGTGTATTTTGTATGCAGTTTATGTGTAATTGCAGCTTCCCATAGGTTGATCTTCTTATCCACATTTTCTGGTGTAGAGGATGCCATGTCACTACTCATGGACTCGTTGAAGCCTTCATCATCAGCAACCTAAAGTAACAAGCCAAAAATCCATGCCACATATATATCAAGACACTTGTCTGAATAAATAAATGAAATGAAATCATCACTCAATGAAATAATATGAAAATCGAGGAACACATAAATGAACATGTAAAGTAAGAAATCTCTGCAAACTAACTACCAAATTAAAATGACATATTCTAACCTCATTATAAACTGGTACTTTAAGCCCGAGCAGGCTAGTGTGAGAGGGATCTGGTAGCCTAGGTAAGCTGAGTTTAACATTCAAGTCACTTGTTCTGCTGTGAACCAGCCCATGGTATAAAATACTGCTCCTCTCCACTTCTTCAGCAGACCCATCAGACACCTGTTAATTGATGATTACATTCAATTATTTTTTTTTTCTACCTTTCAGAAACATTTCTCATGGGAACAATTGCAAAGGAAATACAAAACAATAAGATTTAATTTTAGCTTTTTATAAAGTTTGTTTCCACAACTGCACAAAACTTGCCATTTAAAAGAGGGAAATGACTCTGTGAAGATATATTTAAAGCATTATTTACCGATATTCATTCTAAACAAAATTTATCATGAAATTGACAAGGGCAAGCATTCCATAAGGTTTTTAAGGGCCTGGAAAGAATAAAATTGATAAAAAAAATCGCTTTTTTTCTCGCATTAGAAACGGGATCAGTTCGAAAAAAACGATTAAAAAAATCGATTAATAACACGTAATGGATAGTATGTTTGAACAGCAAATAACCGATTTTGTATGTGCACTTTTTAGCAGCAACACAAAAAGCGATTGTCAGGAAATGTGAATTCCAGGTTGAACCAAGATCATATTACGCACGAACTATTGTTCATGTCCAAGGCCTACAAGCTAAAACGTCAACACACAGGTGGAGCGATGAATTACTTGTTTTGTAATTATTTTGTAGGAATATATTGGGCCTAGGACTCTCCACTCCTCTTCTGGGCCTCCATTTTCATCTTTCGTTCGCTGTCCAGAATATTTGAATATAAGCATTTGTTACCTTGACAAGGAAGAGGTCATGGCCGTGTAGATTTCTTCCGGGTTCCAATTGAAAAACCTGAAGTAACAATTTTGATTTGATTTGATTTATTTGATATCAACTGAATAACATCACAGAACCTGAACAACTGAATACAATGAAACAAAATTGAGAAAACAAGTCATCAATGTTGATATCTGAGATAACCCTCTAAATCCAAATAAAGTATTTATTTCTAGATGGGTCCCACAATAATTTGAATTGATATACTAAATGGTAGTAAATTTCCAATATAATTAAAAAAATTATTATAGTCATCATGATCGTAAAAAAAACGATGTTGTGTTGTTTCACAATCTTACCCGAGCATTTAATAACAAAGTGTTACAACAAAACTGGGTTAGCATTATGGTAGTTGTACAAATGATATATTGTGTAGTACACTAGGTATATTATGTCAATAATCTTCATGGTCGGAGCACAAACAATTTTTTCCCAGGTGTAGTTACAAGTAAAGGAATAAAATAGTAAAAAATAAGTCTACATTAACAAATTTTACATGACAAATTTTTGAGATGTGCCCATATTCGGGCACGATATTGTCATATTACACACAAATATAGGCCTATCACAGTTGTTTATCACATATAATTTTGAGTGCGCACAAAGCCAGGAAACAAAATGTTCAGCTTACCGATGTATCCAGATTATGTTGTTGGCCCATTCTATCGGCTCTGTTTCCTGGGCATTCAAAAAGTTCCCTGTAGATTCAAGTAGAATCATTATATTAGCAACAGGGTGAAAAAATATCAATGACACTTAAAGCTACGTTCACATCAAGACCGGATCCAGTTCGGTGCCCGGAGAGACAAAATCATGAAAAATGGGTTCAGTGGTGAAGAATAGGACTGTTCACATTAAATTTGTACACTTTACAAAAAACGTAACAACTCATGATTTTTTGTCCGAGGCTCCGGACCGGATCCGGGCTTCATGTGAACTTAACTTAAAGGTCTGACAACACTATCTGGCTGCTACTTCTATTTTCACAACGTAACCTGGATTGAATCTTCTCCTGAGGGAGCTACGTTGGCCTCAACCTCTCAGCACCTAATCGCCTGTGCTAGTGCAAATGTGAAAGACTCTAAAGTAAACCCCCACGTGGGGAGTACATCCTCCGTACAAAAGAGTGACCTAAAAATGTCTGAACGTTTCGAAAAATAATGGGCGATTTCCACGCAGATTTTACCGAAAATAAGGTTTAGACCTAATCTTGATGTATAAACAATGTATTATGCAGTAATTACGATTCTGCACACCTATATTCCCAGTAATTTTCCGCACAAATTTGAGCTGGTTTTTGAGAAACTGTATAATCCACACAATTAAAAAACTTATAAGTATGGCAAATGTGTAACCGTTTACTTTGCTCGAGTCAGCTAGGGCTGGACTGTAAAATAAGTGCAGCAAATAATATCCTCCTTGCAAAAATTATGCTAAAAAACCGCCAATGCTTGCTGTGCAAAAATTTATACAGGAATCAGTCCATATTTTCTGAAAATTCTTTCTCAATAATATAATCAAAATATGCAGGAGTTAAGATATTTATTATAGAAAGCAACAGTGTTCTTATAATAGAAACATATTTATATAGGGCAAAAAAAAAAAAAAATTAAAAAAATTTTTGTGCTGGCCATGTTTTGGAAAATCAAAAAATTGGGTAGGTTGGTTGGAATTTTTTTTATTTTTTTGTTTTTTTTTTTTTTTGCAGTGTAGTAAAAAAAAAAAAAAACGAAAACAAAAAACTAAAATGCCGAGCCTCAATTTCATACATTTTGGGTCAGTCGGTCGGTCGTGGCCAACACAATTTTTTTTTATTTGGCCTAGTGGAATCATACCTAGCATAGTGTGGATAGCCATTAAGCTGAATATCATGCAACTGACAAGAATCTCCATGAAAGACAGGTCCACCTGGCAACCTCACCTTGTTCTTGAAGACAAAATAAACAAAAACATCTCAACAATGTCATATGAACACATCCATTTTCTATTTTGAGACATAATATATATTGCTTCCATTCAATGAAAGCAGTGCAACTTTGGCATCAACAAATATTATTATAGCAATTACATAACTGTTTACATAATACATCTATTGAATGTTTGATACAATGATCTATTGTTGAGCTGATAGCTGCTGAACCTTAACAGTGAACCTTATCATTTTGAAGTTGATGGGCAATCAAGGGAAAAGTCTATTCTTGACAGACCAGAGGAAAAGCAATGATGGGAGTTGATAAGGATATGTCCCAGGCCGATTCTGGAAATTTTGTTCAATTCTGATACTTATTATGGCTATTATATTTGAACCAAAATAATTTTTTTGTCCTTTTTTGTTGTGGCAACCAAGGCATAAATGTAAGGGGAGTATTAACCCATGGCACTGTTTATTTAGTTAATGTATTAAAACATTCAAGTTGCTTCTAGTTTAATTATATTTGGGGCATATATTTTATTAGTGTACTTTACCTTGTTTACATGCGTAGAAATTGGTAACCTAAGAGGTTTGTGGCCAATAGGTACTTCTGTCACTGTTTCTTCACTACCAGCCAACAACAAGAGTAATTGTAAAACAGCTTTTGTTTCTGTACTAAGATCTGTAGGTAAAGAGGAGATTCCTTTTAATCGATCTGGAAGATAGTAGGCTGGCTACAGTCTCCACATCACCTCGGGGCTATAGGTTTACCGTTTCCCGAAACTAGAGCAGTCATTACTTGTTGTATGCAGTATACATCGTACAAAGATTCTAAAAAAATGTAATGAAAAGAGTACCCACCAATTAGACCTAGATTTATTTCCTAGGCCTTGGCAATCAAAGGGCCAGTCTCCCAGCACCATAGCGGTTGAGTCCCCTTTACTGTCTATGACTATCATAAATTACATAGTCAGCGTTTTAAGTGGGGCCTAGAAATTCTATCGCGACATTACTCTACTGCATTGGCTGGTAATCAATTTAAGCATTGTTTTTTTGTAAAAAATCTGAACATTAGATATGAGTGAAAATGAAAGCCTTGATTTATGTGCTTCAAATAAAAGCAGAGAGGGGCTTTCAGAGATGGATAATCTATAGGGGCCTATGGTTGGGGCTGATGTAAGAAAATTAAAAGTATGGCACGTATGGATGGCCGGAAATGGCACTCTTAAGACTCAAAATTTGAGTAGAATTTTTTTTTCTCAATTTTTTTTAAATTGTGAAATCTCTATAGTATGTTGCTCCCTTCACTAACCTTCATCTTTTGCAGCAAGCTTTTCAACAAGCTCCTCCAGTCGGCTAGCGCCATCATACAATCGTCTTTCCCTCAATTTGTAAACATTCACCAGCAAGTTCTCATAGACACTAAATTCCCCTTCGTTGCGCACTATTTTGGTTGCACTATGCGGCCCTGGTTGATATCGATAAAGACTGTTATATGCACATGTCCTCAAACGGCGTTTACACTCTGCAACGGTAATAACAGGCTGGACCAGATGTGGGCCAAGCAGTGTAGAACCAAGTAAATGTTTGCCAAGAGAGTCAATGTTTTCAGCCACAGAATTCATAGTTATAATACCTTAAATATTACTGGATTGTTAATCCTATTCCCTTTATAGTATTTAAACACTGAAAAAAATAGAAAAAAATACATTATATACCCCTTGCAATGTTTACATTGGCCTACCTGAAACGCTGGCAGCGCACTACCCTGGTAGGCAGAATATTCTCGTAGTATAGGAGAAATGCATTGGAAATCAGAATGCTGGTTAAAATATGAAAGTTACATGGATGAAATTCACATTAATCATGTTAGCATTAGACAAAAAAATAAAAATCTACGAAATTACAGTAACAATAATAACAATTTAACAATAACAATAATAATTTAATAATAATAATAATACTGTAATAATAATACATGAAATAGTAAAAAGCATTTATATTGCACCGCATATCCAAAAAACATTTCCTCATAGGCGCATTGCAATACATAAAATCATGAAATCACAAATATAATCATTTGAAACATCAAATCGAATCAA